TTACATATTCAATATACTTTTAATTTGCATTACTTACCTTCTCGACGGTTTGCTTCTTCCAAACCTTCACTTCTTATTCTTCTTCTATTATAAGTCACTTCAAAGCCTCCTCTTTGCATAAGCTTATATAATCTATATCACCGTAAATTATGATTTGCATAAGAACTATACTAAATTGAACTAGTATAAAAGATAAGGGAAATTTAGAATTCTTACCTTTTTCTATCTTCTATAATTTAGTCTTCTTCAATTCTAACTTCCCAAAATACTACTCAAAACCTCTATTTTCCTTTAGTTCCACTGTCAAAAGCAATATCTCAAAGAGATAAGAAAATTTCATTACAATAATTAAACTTATTAACTCTGTTGAAATCTAATTGCTTACCTTACTTGGTATCACATTGACAAAACAAGCCTAAATGTTTCCTCAACACTTTTCACTATGGCGCTGCACTCAACCCTTAAGGTCCAATGTGAAAAGAACTTCCAATGTTAAGTGAAAATCCCAAATTCCTTCAGTCGATCTTGCTATAGCCGCTATCACCGAATCTCTCATCCAAAGGATGAGATAGTGAATTATGCGGTTTCACTACAGTTCCACTGATATCTTCAGCCCGTTGGATCCAACTTCTTACTGTACCAAATGCTTCCTCGGTCTTTCTCCTATTTTTGCAACCGAATTCTGCTTTGGCCACATAAATTAACAATGCATGAAGCACTCAATTGAATTCCTTTTTAAGGACTTTCTGTACAACCTACACCGCCTCACACTTCCCTTGCTTACGGAATTTCTTTCTCCAGCAAATAATGATAAATGGAAAAGATGTCCACGGTACACAGAACAAATGGATAGTGGGCCCCATCCAGCCTCTAACCGTTCTCCTCTAAACCAGTCCCATCCAAAAGTTTCAATGACAAGCAACCTTTCAGATTTATTAAGTTTTCTTTCATAATTATCTAACTCAATAATAATATAATTTTATTAATACTAATTTATTTAAACACTGAAATAAATTAATTGACATAAAAGTACCTGTAAGTTCCGTTTATCACATAAGCAGAGCGTACGCAGTACATCCAATAATCCGGACGCATCTCTAGGTGCGGTGTCCGCATCTAATAATTACTCTCTGTCTTTTTTTTTTTGGGACATTTAGGCCATTAAAGGCAAACTCACACACACAACGCATACACATAGACTCGAATCCTGGACCTCTTAGTTGGAAGCCTAAGCTCTCAACCAATAGGCCAAGGAGAGTTGTGTATAATTACTCTGTGTTGTTGCGAGAGAGACACACGTTGGGAGTGGGTATTGTGTTCAACGAGAAGAGAATAATGATAGTAGGTGTTGCCTTCGGTGAGAAGGTAAAAATCAAGAGTGGTGCTCCGCTCGACCATTTTTTTTTTCTTGGAAACCATTCAGCTACTTGTACAAAATAAGAGGAAAAAAAGTGATTTTACAAAGGGATGAGATGGAATATGAAGAGTATTTAACTGTAAATTAAAATAATTAAGAGCAGAATTTAAGTTGCAAAGGGATGCAATGGAATACGAAGAGTATTTAACTGTTAGGTAATTAATATATATTTAAGCATTAAGAAAAAATATAAATGTAAAAAATATTAATTATTCATAATTATATTTGATAAATAAAATGAAGCGGCACAATAATATTTGAATAAATAAAATAAGAAGTCAAAATTTTATAAATATGGAAACTCAAGGGGTTTTATAATAGTAGTATCTCTAGATGAAAATGTTTTGGAGAAACAATATATTTAATGGTATTAATAAGTTTATAAATGATTTGGAAATTTTTTTTTGGAGGAACCGAAAATTAATGAATAGGAACAATCATAAATGAACGATGCAGATTTATTTTAAGTTTAGAAATAAATGTTCACGATTTGCTTTGGGAAGAATCCCAAGTCATATTTATGTAATAGTATATAAAAATATAGTCAAAAAATAAATTAAATATATGAATAAAATGAATGGCTGAATATTTAATTAATATGAAGGAATACTAAGAAGTATTAGAGATTTTAAATTATTACTTCATTTATTTAGGAGATACAAAGAGCGAAATACAAAATTTATTTAATGAAATGTGTGTCAAATATTTATTATATAAAAATACATATATATATTTTTAAATTTATTAAAATGAAATGAAGAACTGAATAATTTTTAAATTAATAAAATGAAAGATCAGAATTTGATGGGGTGGAAACTCAAGCCACACATATAATAGTAGTATAAATTTATGAGTCAAAAGCTTAAGATATATAATTTTGTTAAGAAAAAAATTAAAATTAATATTATAGATAAAAATTTTATATCATACTAATTTTAAGTTAAATAGAAACAATTTAAGATCTATAATAAAATTATGTTCACAATTATTTATAAGAAATTCGGTGTTGAACTTTACAGTCATAGATCGTTTTTGAAAAAAAAATAATGGAACCTATGATCCGTACGTACAAATTTCTTCCAAAACGTCATTGAGCTTTCATTCCTCTGAACTTTCCAAAAATCTTAGGCTCCTTCACAGCCAAGCCATGATCACCTGTAACCCTTCCGCAACTAACGCTCATCATCGACTATCAACACGCGCGTTCTCTGCCATTTGACCTTTTTTTCTTACCAAAAAACGAAGGCTTTCTTATCGATTCCCTTATCGATTCCTGAAGCATCGAGGATAGACGAAGCACCGTTCTCTTGCGAGCTTTCCATTCGCGGTAGGATCAAAACATCGAGAGGAGACACAAGGTCTTTGAACGAAACCCTTGCATTCGTCTCCTGTTTTGGGGAGCAAGGGAAGGTAGAGAGGGTTTCTGGGGATCTAAATTCTTAGTGGGCGAAGATAAGCACGGCAGCAATGTCTTTGGGTTATGCCCAGAAGTTATCTTATAGGGAAGATGTGGGCGTCGTTGGGTTGACTGAGCTTTTCGACCCACCTGCCGTTCTTCAGAGGAAAGTAAGGATTCTCTCTCTATTCGTTACCCCATAGCTTTCTTTGGATTAGGTATATAAAACGCCATTGATTTTAATCTCCTACAGACTATACAATCAATTTTATAAGCAAATGAGGATAGAAAAGTGTGGTGGAATTAATTCCAGTTCATAACATGATGGCACATGTAGTCTCGAGACGAAATGACCCTATGCAGCCATTGCACATTGCTCATTATTCATCCTAAGCCAATATTAACTCTCCTATCAATTCATTGCTGTAACGTTTATAGCTTCCTCCTTCGTAGGTAAAATTGATTTGGAATTGTCATCTCACATATGCAAATGCTTGTATGCATTCAATTAGTATTAACATGGAGTTTGTTTCCACAATATGGCTATCCATAGATTATAGTCCCATAAGCTTTCTATCCATTATAGTTTCGTCATAGAGGGGATCATACTAGAACTGGAAAATTTGCATATTAAAAATTTAGCTTATGATCTTTTATTGGCAAGGCATTGGGCTATATGATAAAGACTCCCTTGATCTTTATCTATTTATCACTAATGGAAAAAGTCCCTGCTATTGTGGTAGTAAAGAAAGTGGCATAAAATTTGCATATTAAAAATTAGATCTTTTATTGGCAAGGCATTAGCCTAAATGATAAAAACTCCCTTGATCTTTAGCTTTTTATCACTAATGGAAAAAGTTGCTGCTATCGTGGTAGTAAAGAAAGTGGCGTGAAATTTTGTCCATGAGGGCCATATAGAAAAATTATTTAAATCTAATAGCTAAGGTAGTTGACATTTAGCATTGAGTTTGGAACGGCGAACAGTGTAAATTTTACTCATGCCAATGATGTTCTATCCTCTGGTCTTAGTCCTTTTGTTCATTATACCTTTGAATTGATAAGTTTTTCATCCTTAGTTTTTTTTTTTTTTCATTCAAATTTTAAATTTTATTCCCATTTTTCATTTCAATATTTTTTTTTGTTTTGTTCTCTTCAACAAAATAATAGTCTAAAGATTTTCGTTTGAGTAGATCTAAAACCAAACACATGGAGTATAGTTTTAGTATGAATAGATCTAGTGGGGGGATTTTGACTTTGAGCGATTAAGTCATTAAAAAGAGTACACATTTTAGATATCTTAGGTCTATTGTTTAAAGTGATACTGAAATAGATGGGGATATTATTAGTAGAATTCAAGTTGTATGGCTGAAGTGGAGGAATGCATTGGGCCTGCTGTGTGATAGAAAAGTCTACCTCAAACTTAAGGGAAATCTTTTAAGATGGCAGTAAGACCTACAATGCTTAATGGCGCAAAATATTGGCCATTAAAAGAGAAGCATAAAATTAAGTGTTGTAGAGATGAGGATGCTTAGATGGATGAGTTGCTTATTCTTAGAGATGGAATGCAAAATGAGTATGTACAGAAAAATGTTAAGAATAGCTCTAGTGGCAGGTAATGTCAAAGAGAGTCGACTTAGATGGTTTGGTCACATAAAACGTCGGCTTTTCGAGGACCCGATTAGGAAATTAGATTTTTTAGATCTGACCTATGTTAATAAAGGTATAGATAGCCCTAAAAAGGCTTGGTTAGAAAGTATTATAAATGCTCTTTTTTATTAGATTTAAATGAGAATTCGACTCTTAATATGACACAATAGAGAAAAATGATTAATGTAACCAACCCGTGTAGTGGGATCAAGGCTTGATGTTGTTGTTGTACTTGTTCTCTTCAATAAATATTTGCTCCTGTGAAACTTATAAGTCAACAAGATGATGAAATGTCCTGTACCACCTCTAATTGTTGAAACTGGTAAGACGTTATGTGCTTTTAGTCGCAATTCATTCAAATCTTTTTAGACTTCTATTACCCTCTTGATAAGGTGATTGGCGTGGCTATCATAACCTTATTTCTCTTGACTTGTTGACCTTTTTAGTCAAACAATAAATGCATTGGCTTTCTGCTTACTTAGACTTGCAATTTAACATATTCTTTTTGTACTTGCGAGCTGCAGATTGAAGAGCTGGCCCTGATAATAAAGAAGGTCAGAAATGTCAATAATCAAAGCTGAAGTTTTTAAATGCTATATTGAAATGAAAGGCATGAGAAATTTAGTATCTACTGTTATTTTGTAACCTTCTTCCTTAAGTTTCCAGAGCAAGCATTTGGTGGCATTTACGGGTGCTGGGATATCAACTGCTTGTGGCATACCAGATTTTCGTGGACCAAAGGGTGTATGGACCCTTCAGGTGAATGCAATGTTGATTTTGTGTTCTACGCCTATTTTCCTTTTTTGGAAACTAAAAAAGAATTCTCTTTAGTTTGAGCTTGAGATTGCACCAAATTGCTAACTGTGTCTCTCTAAACACACTAAGAGGTTCAAATGTCATTGATATTTATCATCTAGTTGTATTTCTTCCTTCTTGCTTTATTTGTTCAAGTTTCAAATGAGACAATTAAAACTTTTGATGATTTAATCATTTACGGATATTACTCTTTTTCTTGTTTGGTGTAATCATCTTATCCATTTTACTATAATTGCTCTTTTTATATGATAGTTTGATAGATAAGCTCCCTATGACAAAGAGAACAAGCCTGAAAAATAACTGTTAGGAAGTAGGGAATATTTTCAACAGCATCATGAAATTCTATTGTTTTCAGTTGTTGAAATAAAAAAAGTTAGTTATTCCCGTTTGTAATGTTTAGCAGTCATTCTTCCTAAGAATAAACACAACTTCGCTTTATTTTAAATGCAATTCTTTTCCAACTTTAATGAAACTTTAAGTAGTTGGTGGCCTACAATCTTGACTTTTATAGCATGTTCTTTTTTGCTAATGAGTATGATTATAAGGGTTAGCATTCTTGCTGCAATCCTTAAGCTGTGATTTATAGCCAATTCTAGAGTCCTAACCAAACCTATTGATAGCATATACTACTATGCCTTGATGCCGTCTCCTATCTAACTAGCAGTAAACTCTCTCCTCATGAATAAAATGTTTGCCCTTGTTGCTCATTATATAACATCTCAATAAAAATTTCCATTTTACTCTTTAGGGAACATATTGATTCATGCATTTTCTGCTTGTATTTCACCAATCAGTGTAGAAAATGGTGTAGCTAAGCTGATGTCCCTCTTTTTGCTATCATTTTTAATTTGTTTGATTGAATCAGAGACCCTCTCCTCATATTATTAGGTCCATGTGTGGGCAAATGAGATAAAAGAATCTTCTTTAGCTACTACAAGGATGCCCTCTATGTTTTTGCTAGGAACTCTTCTCACTTTTGATGGTGGTTTATAGCTTACCCAATTAGTAGACTGTTGCGATGTTGAAGTGGATTGTAACTAAACATGATAGGGCAGGGTTGTTTGGAATCACTACAGAGAGGTTAGGCTCAGCTTTTTAGAATTCACTCAATGAAAGATCTGTTCGACACACTTTTAGGGCTTTTGTAATAGAAAAAATAAACGGAGAAACTCACACTTCAAAGGTCAAATAAATATGTTTGACATCTTTCAACATCTAATAAAAGATACGACACTTGTTAAATCAACAAATAAAATGACATAAAATCAGGAAATGGTTGATGTTTATAAATCTGGATTATTGATGAAAGTAAATCATGACCATTGACAAAAAATAAAATGAAATAAAATAAAATCTAAGTAAAACGAAATCGAGAAGACAAAAAAACCCTAACATTCCATTATATTACCTTGCTTCAACGAAGCCATTTTCTGCAGCTTCGCTTTACTCAGCAGCAGAACTGTGAGTAGTAAATGCACTAAATTTGTAAAAATTCTAAATAACATCTTGTTCTCCATAGCCCACATTGGAAGAATTTGCTTTGCGATGCTCAACCCCTGAGGGTCAATTTTGATGAAGAGGGAGACCTGAAAGAAGGTTAAGTATACTGTATAGTGGGTGCTTGTGCTGGGAAGGATGGATCCCCTTTTTTATCTATTCTCGTAAATAAGATGGACATAGTTGTCTATGGTTTATAGAAAAAATGATGCCTGAGTAAAAAAGTTGCGGCCATTGGACAGAGAAAATATCAGCTTCATTGTAATTGCTATTTTCTTACAGTGTTGGACTTGTTGTTGTTGTTGGAATTGATGTGGGATTGACTTAGCAATCAGTTTTCTAGCTGCTATATGCTGTGATCGAAACACTTTGATATCTTTCTCTGCAAACAATTTTTTTATGAAATATAAATCTTATTTCAGCTGTTAAGGTAGTCATTTGAAATTGCAGAGGGAAGGCAAGGGCGTGCCTGAAGCATCTCTACCTTTTCATCGTGCAATGCCAAGCTTGACACATATGGCATTAGTTGAATTGGAAAGAACTGGCATCTTAAAATTTGTCATTAGCCAGGTAGTTTTTCTGTCTCATTGTTAAGTGAATGACCTATTAGTTTACCTATGCCTCCATATGAAGTTAATAAGGGCTTTCAAGTAGTAAGAATATAGAAAAAGTGCTATTATTGAGAGTCATTTATGTTTTAAAAATCTATTTAGTGATCTCTTCTTTATTTCCCTTAATTGGCCATTTGTTTCCAGTTAAACAAGTATTAGTTTTTTCTTGCATTTACATGTTTAAATTCAAGTTACTTTTTTTGGGGATTAAATTGTACATTACTAGGCTTGGTGTGCTTGCTTCTGGATTTACATGGATGTGACTACAAATGGCTAACATTTTTTAATAAAGGTGATCGTATTGTTGTTTCATGTTCTGTCCTTGTTCTGTCAAACATTTATGTGCTTAAATGTCTATAAGCAATATGCACTTTCAAGCACCATACTTGTTGATTTTCTTTCTTTCATTCCCAAGAATATGCTAGATTGTCTTCGACTTTTTGCAAACAGCTTCCGGACAATAACGTGGATATCAATGACTTGAGTATTAGTAAGTTGGTGCTAGGTTAATTGACCTCTATCAAGGGTTATGGTATGTGCAGTTGTAAACCTAAACCAAATTAAAGGTGTAGGATTTGGATCGCAAGTAGTTGCTATGTTCCAATTATTCTCTGTCCCTTTGCTCTCTGGATGCAGTACACCTTAAGCGCCCATTCCCACCATCTGTAGTGCAAACCACCTTTTCTAAGACATACTGACGAGGTCCATTTTACTCAAACTTGTTCAACCTAAATTGGTGGATTCAAAGAGAACGGAAGGTCTCGGGTCCTTTTTGGTCCAGTTCTCCGTGAGTTTTATTAGATTTAAATGAGGATTTGATTCTTTATAGGACATAATTGCGAAAAAGGATTTATATATCTGTCCCCACGCAGTTGGATAAAGACTTGATGTTGTTGTTCTCGCTTAGATACCTTGTTTTCCTGGCCTTGCATTGTGCTATCTGTTACTCTATGTAATAGAATTCGCAGTTATCTAGTTGTTACTGCTGTTTTTATGATGTGCAACTTAGACATTCAATATATTGGTAAAGAAACTTGTTGTTTAGAGGCTCTGAAAAAAAGATCTGAAGTATTATCCATGCGGGCAACTCTAGGCTTAATTGCTTGTTGCATGTTAGATGTTTTGTCTAAAAACCCTTGGTGTAGCTCTATTTTACATTAAAAATAATATAAAAATGCTATAACAACAAAAGTTATGTAACCAGCATAAAGGGCTATAAATACGGTGAAAAGAATGCATAAATATATACATGATCAATTTTGTTGTTGGGCAATTTGGTTTCTGCGTCACATTTTCCATTTGTATGATTTCAAATAATTTCAAAATGCATCTCGGCAGAAGTTTGTCTAGTCAATAAAATTAGTTAAAGTTAAACTATATATGTTGGAAAGAATGCCTGATGCTGCTCTAGGTATGTTGTGTATTCTGGGTGTTATATGGTATTCCAAACCTAGCGTGTCCTATTATAGCTAAAGATTATGTTAAAATTGTTTGCTACTTAAAAGAACAACACATAAATTGTTTTCTACGTTTCTTAGATAACTTTGTGAGGGCAGGAGTATTACAATAAACTAATGTAATGGGTGTGGGCAATGAAGTGTCTGCAACGTATTTGATTTAAAATTAGACTATTGGATCTTAATTTTCTTTTCTTTAGTAGAAAAAGAAATGAAAAGCACACTCTACTCTTCCATAATTGTTATTAACTTTGATGAGTTCTTTTGGTTCTCTTGTTTTGTTGCTAAATATTGGCTTAGCCTGTTATTCTATGTATGTTTTGTTTTTTTGGACTATGTTATTCTAAAATTAATGGAGGCTTGGAGCTGAATTTAATTGGTAGGTTGTTCTAGTCTTTTGATCTTAGATAAAATTGTATTCTCCAGAATATTGACAGTCTTCACCTTCGATCTGGAATACCAAGAGAGAAACTTGCAGAGCTACATGGGAATTCATTCAGTGAACTTTGCCCTTCATGTGGAGCTGAGTATGTTTTCATTTTGTTTTCTCATTTTTTTTTTGGCTATGTTATAGTTAATGATGACATCTCATTCATCAACGGCTTCTATGATGTCTTTTGCATTTTGTTCGACATATGTTGAACAGAAAATGCTTCCGATGCCCTCTCCTTAGCGTAGTGCATGAGAATCATACCTAACAATACTTTTATTCACAAATAGCATGCACCACCATGGTACCTTCAAATACCATTTGTTAGCGTATTAGTAACTGCTACTAAGAGGCATGAAATAGTGTTGATTTTTTATGTAATCCTACTATAACTAGAAGCTCCTTGATAATTCTTAACACTAGTCATTATTCCATTATGTTTTTTTTTTTTTAATAATTTCTTTGCATCTTTGACATAAGTTTTTTTATCTATAATCCCAATAAATCAATTGTTATGTTACTCAATCATATTTCCTTTTCAGATTATGAAGGTTACATTAAGATTTGTTCATTACACTCTAAAGTTTTTCATTAACCAAGAAAAATTACCTTTATAGATCTTTCCCTCATAAAATGAAATTAATATTTAGATATTTAAATAAATTTTCTGAGCTCATGTTCTATTTTATTATGTGAATTTCTAAATTCAAATATTATCATTCAAATATTAACCATATAACTGAGAATATTCCTCAATAAAATTTTTTATTAAATTGTCATAATTATAGCCTTAGTTGGTTATTTTATCTTTGAAACTACTGAATATTAATATATTATCAAACATTGAAAGTTCTTATACATTTATTTTTTTTAATGCAGTGAAAATTGAAGTGTTTTTAATAAAGATTAGATTGTCAAATTATGTGGTATTTACATGTTTGGGGAAGCAGAGGGTGATATATTGTTTGGTAGTGCTTGAATCTTGCTGAACTAGTCAATAGACAATAGATGGTTAAAAAAAGGTGATTAAGTAGGAGAGATGCAAATCTAACTTCATTCTTTGGTATTAGGAGCTGCAGATAGTGAGATACAGGAATTCGAGGAGGGAGTTTTTCAGCTCTTGACAAAACTTGGAGATCTAGGCTCCTACGTTTCAAATTTGATGTTTTTTTGGGGTGGGGTTGTGTGAAGGGAAAGAGGTTATTTGCTTGAAAAAGAAATGGAGAGGAATAAGGGAGAAAACTTTTAAAAGAAGAGGAAGAAATAGAGGAACATAATGAGAGGGAGTCTTAGTTGACGGGGCCTTAGGCAACCAGTAATTATCTCTTGTGGACATTCTTGTTCTAGTTCTCTTTGTAAATTTTTTTTTTAATTATTGGCAATTTTGATTATATCTAACTTTTGTAGCTTTTAAGTCTAATGTAATCTTATTCATTTACAAAGGTATCTGCGTGATTTTGAGGTAGAGACCATTGGAATGAAATTGACGCCAAGACGGTGTTCCGATGTAAAATGTGGAGCAAGGCTTAGGGACACGGTTCTTGATTGGGGGGTAAGATGTTCTAACGTTATGATTTCAGGATCGTTGGTAGCCATTTCTTGAAGAATATATTTTGCCTTGATAATGATTTTATTAGATAACATTTTTATGTATTTGTTGTTGTTCTGTTCACTATTTTTAACTTATTTATGAGCTAAGTGTTTTTTTGCACATGTTGCATATTACCTAATAATTAAATGTTTTCATTTGCTTTTAATGTGAAAAAAATGCACATTATATAAACTTTATCTTTAATTAGTTTGTTTTTCATTTGTGAGGGTTTAAAAAAGCACAGAGTATTGCTTAAAAGAGGATTGCGTAATAGAATAATTTAAAAAGTTGTGCATGACCCTTTAGTGGGGATGTGTTTTTCATCATCCCCTCTCACAAACATGCACATAAACCACAATTAACTCATAAAAAGCATTAAACTTGTTCTAGATTATAGGCTATATAAACTTCAAAAGAAAATCAAATAAATATTATTCATTGATTGTTCAAGAAAAGTCAACATCTTGAGAGGGAGTTGAAAGTAAACTTGAATTATGGAGGTCAACATTAGAGACTAAAGGTTTTCGCTTGAGTAGATCTAAAACGGAATATATGGAGTGTAATAGACCTAGTGAGGGGATTGTGACTTTGGGCGATCAAGACATTAATAAGATTACACATTTTAGATATCTTGGATCTATTGTTCAGAGTAATTTAAGAAAATGTACTCTCAAGATTCTCATCACAATGAGAAAGCTCAAGAGAAAATGGATTTTTCTTGAACAATCAACAACAACGACAACAACAACAACAAGCCTTTATCCCACTATGTGGGGTCGGCTACATGAATCCTTTTTCTCCATTGTGTCCTATTAAAGGTCAAATTATCGTTTAAATCTAATAAAGAAAGGTCATTCCTAATATTTTATAACCAAGTCTTCTTAGGTCTGCCTCTAACTTTCTTAATATAAGTAAAATCTAATACCTCTACTCTCCTAACCGGGTCATTAGAAGGCCGCCGTTTTATGTGACCAAACGATCTAAGGCGACTCTCTAATCTTATCTTCTACTGGAACTAGTTCTATAAGATGGTAGTGAGGCCTGCAATGATTTATGGTGTTGAATGTTGGCCATTAAAAGAGAAGCATAATACCTTTTCACGTATATGCTCATTTCGTATCCTATCTCTAAGGGTAAAGCCACTCATCCACCTGAGCATCCTCATTTCTGCCACACTTTTAATGAGCATATACGTGAAAAGGATATATTAGGCAATTCAGATCTGGAGAGGAAAAAAATAATGTACATCATGTCAAGAGAAGGTGATGCAATGTTGGGTTATTTGAGAAAATGCATTGTCAAGAAATAAATAATAGTTTTATGAAACAAGAATGCATTCTATTTAAATGTGCTCCGTAGAGTACTTAATGTTTTAAATTTTGCAGAAGTTAGAGATTTAAGGGATGAAATAGTAAGAATTATTTAGGGTTAGGGTTATGCATGCTTATTGTTTCTCTTGGAGTTCTCTTTGTGATTTTGGGCTCTAGATTCATCATTATCTAGAGATTGGGAGAGAACGATCCTCCTCTCGAATTGAGGATTAATTGTATCTTTGCTTGTTCTTGCTTTTGGTTTGATTCCTATACTACAATCTACTATTTTTTTATTGTTTTCATCGGAGATCTTGAGGTATTCTCGCTGTTTCCACCAATTATTATTAGGTTTGCTTGCGAGCTCATGTATTTCCCATTAGGGTTACTTGAGAACTCAAGTATTTCCTATCAGCTACTTAGTACAATATAGAATCTAAATATGCAGTTGAACATAATATGTGAATATATGAATACCATTCAATGACAATATGAAGGATCATTTGCATTGAGAGAATAAGTCAATGTAAAATATTTGTGATAATAATATTGTAGCAAATAACATTATCTTATGCATATAAAAAAGCTGGAAGCATAAATATCTTAATTAAATGCATTAGATTCAGGAGAAATGAAATATTACTTCAATTTAAAATTAGGTCACCCGCATTAAAATTACGTGGATTTTGAGCTTAAACTTTAGCGTCACTTTTAGAAATTCCATCTCAGCATGGGTCAATCAATGTGCTTAAGTTCATCAACTCCAACATTAGTCAAATTTATATCAACTCACTCGCATTAAGAATAATTCTTAAAATATTATGATAAATCTCTTAAGTCCTTTCCTAGTTCTTTTTAAAGCAAAAAAATTATTATCAATCAATGAAAAGAGTACAAGCTGAAGTAATTGCATAAATTGCTAAATAAAAGAGCTACAAATAAAACAAATCATTAAGGCTTACAAAAGTTGTATTGATGCATGGTCATCTGTTAGATGATAAGTATCTCTAAAGTCCTTATTAAAAACATCTAACGCTAAGTCTAATATATTTTGGAGAGCGACTGTATTTTTTTACCCTTTTTGCTGCTTTTGGTGTATGGAATTTGAAATTTTTTATCTTCCAGTTTTCTTGTGCTAGAATGCCTAGCATCAAATGCAGCTAACTAAGTGTTTGGATCATTAATATACCCAACAACAGGATGATCATTAGGAGAAAATCTCTAAAATCACTTCCGTCAAGCTAACATCTGAGGAAGGGATGAATCCAAACATGGTCTAAAGATAATTAAAAGATGTGTTTAAATTAGATAAGGATTCAGAAATAGTCAGAACTACCACCATAATGTTAAAATGTTGATTTTTATTAATTAAATTCTACCTACTATTACAATTAGTAGAAGATTTCTGCAGTTATGGATGTATCTTATTAAAGGATCAAGAGAAGTTGTGACAAAAAAAAATAAAAAAAAAATAATAAGAAGGGATGCCTTCATATTATACATTTTACCAGTGGACATGTCATGCCCCAGGTCGGCATGGGGTGAACAGAGAAAATGCTACCATACTCTTAACTATTATAATTATGATCTCTAACTTCTGCAAAATTTAAAACATTAAGTACTCTACGGAGCACATTTAACATTTTGTAACACGGAAGCATATTTCAATCACTAATTATCCATACAACTACATAACCACTAAAACAATTCATGATACTATGCATATCATCAAAATTAATATGAATTATGAATGTTCATATCTGCTAAAACTCTATCATACAACAAAACTGTATATCAAAAAAATGTACACCCAAAATATTAAAATCCGTCCTAATTGGATTCTACTTTGTCAATTATTTTACCAAAAATAATAACAAATATAAAGGGATGAGTAAAACTCAATAAGACATCCAAATTTAAAGACAAGAAGTAATTAATGTAATAAATGTTACTTATACTCATAGCTAATTACATATGTTACCTACAGTACTCGCATAAGAGATATCTTAACTAACATCTGATGACTTCATAAGCAATTTATCTAATTAAAACAACTTTAGAGAAGCATTCAAGTGTTAGGCATTAATCATATTTTGTAAATTATTTACAATTTTTTCCTAAACTTTTTTTGTTGATTTCATATATCTTATACACCTCATCTTTTTGGCTTTAGAATGTATCATGTATATGCAACGTGCAAATGCAACAAAAAGTGTGAAAGTGCATTATGCAAACTCTCAAAAAAACATATATGTCAATTTAAAGAAAAGTTAAATATAGGCATGTACTCTGATCAAACATATAAAACTCTTAAATTTGATAATGTTGTGTTGATTAAAAATAAAAAATAAATTTAAACCTTATTTAGGTAAATAATATAAATTTCAAACAATGCGCTGTAAATCCTATTCTTATAAATGAACATTTGATTGCAAAATCCATGAAATATTTGGTTATAAGTTTGCATTAGGCCTTCAATTCTTTTTGCAAAGAAAATTCATAGAAAAATGTAAATGCTCAAGTTGACCACTCATACAATAGCCTAGAAAGTTAATATTCGAATTGAAAATATGTTAGCAAGCGGGCTGAGCTAACAATATTCAAATAATAAAATGGAAATAATCAAATACCTCAATGATGGTAGCGTTGACAGAAAATATCAACCATAGAGGTCTTTACTTTCAAATGCCCTCAAATCACAATGCAGATCATTTTAAGCCTACATCTAGGAAAAATATGAAAATTAAAAATATTTGCAAGATTCAAAATATTTCAAGTGAAGTCTACTAGTCATAAGCTTAAAGTAAAATTTAGTTACTCGCTACAACAGTTTGTTGAGGGTTATAAATTTGATAATGATCTTAGCTTACAAAGACAAAATGCCTTGTCGAGCATATCGTTGTGATTCATTTGCAAATGATCTTTTGCAGTTAGGGTGTGATAAGTGCCTTGTAATCAATGGTTTGCTGATAGATGACACAATAAGTAAACGGTTATGATTGGGGCTCCCTGATTGGGTGATTTTACTTTAAAATGGTTTCATCAAATTATAATTACGGTCAGAGCCTACAAGCTCTCCAACTGCCAAAGACACCTTAGCAATGAATCATAAAGTGACTTGATAACTCTTGTTGTCACTATAGTCAATGTGCATTCTCAATATACATTTTGCTATAAAATGCAAAACTCAATTTATGTTTTAATAGATGCCATAATGGAGCATAATGTGATTTATGTTGTAGAAAGGGTTATAAAATGCACCGCAATGATTGTGATGGTGGGGTCCGATACAATTTTCATTCTTGATGATACTTCTTATCATCAACATAGCTAGTGTGCATTGTGCATGACAAATGGTTGTGCTAGGCTTGGTGGTTTTGGGATTATATTGAAAGAGAGGTTTTGGAAAGGGTTTGTGTTGCATCTTCTAGTGGAATACAAGTCCTGCATTGATTTTTCTCACGATTTTCCCTGGTTTATGCTGATTACCTGCTGTAGACAGCAGATTTTTGCTGTTTTTCCTGCTACAAACAGCCATTTCACTGCTGTTTGCATATCGATTTGGGTTAGGATTGCTTGCGAACTCAAGTATCACCTTAGGGTTACTTGCGAACACAAGTATTTCCTATCAGTTTGCATGAGTGGAGGGATGCCAATTATGGGAAGTGCAAGCAGTGGTCTACATTGGAGATAGAAGGGAAAGGGAAGCTTGAGAGAGATGGAGCTTGAGATGGACTTGTTTTTGATCGAGTGCTAGTATGGGTGCGGGATGCAAACACTGATGGGGGCTCAAGTCGATTGCCTCAATGTGGAGGGGAGCCGGAAGAGTGGTAGCTAAGTGAGGTCAAATGGTTGCTTTCCACAAAGAAAACAGGATACATGTATGGGATTATGTTTTTGGAGTTACTAGGTGATTCCATAGGAGAGAGTGGGTCATGCCTATGAGGTGCAGAAGGCAGAGCAAGGGTGAAGATTGGTGTTTTCTTGGAAGGAGAACACTGGAGAAGGAGGTGTTGGGGTTTTTGATGGACTTGCGATTGCAAGATTAAGATATTGGTTCGTGCGTATTGTGTATGTGATGAGAAGATTGAAGATGGAGAAAGAGCAAATGGGTGAGTGGGACGTGTGGTTTTTGAATGTGGAGAACATGGGTGCTGTTGCAATTAGGCCATCTCAATAAGGGGGCTTATGTGAGTTTGACATTTAGGGTTATGGGTGGATTCTTATTTTTTATTTTGGTAAGCTCTCATTATTATAATGGTTTTTTAAGATACTTATTTCTTCCTTTTTCAAGCAAGCACTCTGAAGTCTTGATTGCTATCGAATTCAATTTTCCTGTCTAGTTACTTTCATGTTGATTCTATGTCAAGGAATTGGTATGATTTTCTGATGCCTTTGTGATGTGAATACTGGATGACCTATTGAAAAGCTTTTTAAATATTTGGAGCTAACTCAAGTTTTAGCAGTACTAGGACTACTTTGTAGGGTCAATATTTGGAGCAAACTCAAGTTTAGCAGTACTAGGACTACTTTATAGGTTCTGATTTTTGTATCAATATGGACTGAATATATATATATTTTTTTCCTTTTTTTTAATTAATTTGAACTTAAAGGACATTTGCACCCAATTTCCGAAGATAAAATAGGAACATCAACATTTGCATGCACTAAATGTAACCCACAGATATATGTCCTTCAAGACATGAATTTATAAGTGCCGTAACCTTGTGGCATTTTTAGCATCATGAAAGGAGAGCTTATTATTGAAGTGGCAAACATTAGATTATATTTCAATTAATGTAGTAGAAATGGGAGCATTTAATAATTTGCATTAAGCTCTATGATCCAAAAGCTAAGACATTTCTTGATTGGGTTCTTTAAATATGTTCAATAATCACGATTGTTTTTTCCAACCTTTTTTCTTTTTAGAGGATTATTTCGAAGATAAATATGTTATTTGTTTATTGAGTCTTTCTTTCTTGAGTTTGTAACATGTATTAAAACATATCTTGCAGGATGCTTTGCCAGTAAAAGAGATGAATCCTGCGGAGCAGCACTGTAAAATGGCTGATGTTGTGTTATGTCTGGGGACTAGGTAAGTGGTAACATACAATAAAACATGCAATAATGAAATCATAACTTTTGGTTGCCTAAATTCTTCTCATTCATCTGTGAAATTCAATATTTGCTTAAATCTAACTATATTATATCTTGATAGATTGTTTTACCCCTGGATAATAAAGAAACTATACCTAGTGTATGAGGCTTCCTATTAATGAGAAGTCTAGGGTGAGTTGATGAGGCTTCCCTTCAATGCCGAGTTTGGGGGAGTTGATGTTGACCTATTGTATATAAAATAAAAAGGGAAAAATTCCCATACCTCAACCCCCTCCTTTCATTCCGTCGAACCCATGCCCGCTCCGTACGCGAGCATGTCACCCACTCACCCTTGCCCACTGAAATCGACATCATCTCCTTTCCTACACAATCTCATGCTACCCTCTCATTCTCTTCTTCTCCTCTTTGTTTCCAACCCAGATTATCGATACTCTTGACGGCAAAGGAGGAAGTTGCGACTTGGAGTTCATTACATAAGGCCTCAGTAGGATCTGTTGTGCATGAAAGAGGTGAGGAAACCGCACACTCTTACTAAAGAATGCATTGATGAATCCAATGGCTTGTAAAGGGAGAGAAATTATTGAAGGAGATGAAGAGTAATTCTTTCGTAAGAACGAAAACTTAGTAAATATATCAACATTGAACTTGCCTCCATGTGCAACTCCATGGATCCTCGTCTTAGAGAATTTATTAACTACCTATCATGTACTTTTCTTGCTTCGATCTTTACTTGATCCCTATTGGGGCTTATGTTTCTTAAATTATAAAAAAGGGGAAGAAAGGGTGTCGATAAGCATGGGTTAAGGAAGTCTTCAAGTAAAACATCAAACTCGCATTATGGGACCCACTATGTACAACAACATTTCTTTATTATCTATAGCGGACCTTGGTGGTGTAGCAAAGACACTCTCTTGCAGCATTTCTATGAAAATGAAATGACAAAGGAATTTTATATTAAACTGTGGGCTTATTTTTCCTATAGCTTTAATGTGAAGTGAATCATTATTTGCATATGAGAAGTGGGATAAAAATGAATGGGTGAATGTACTTGCCTCATCCCATTGTTGTAGTTATCTTGCATGCAAAAATATAAAAAAATGCAGCATTTGAAAATCTTCAAAAATCATGAGTGCGATGCATTCATAGAGCAAAACTTGTGTGCACTTTACTTAGCACAACAATGAGAACTCATAGGTGATGTTTGCGATGCCACGGGTAAGCCTTGTGCTCTCTTTTCTTTGCATGATGGAGAAATTCAATTATGAGTACCTTTGCACATTTTTTTAATGTTGTGGGGAAACATTGTAAGTTTTAAGCATATACACGAAGATTTGCCCACTTTTCTTCGCATAGTGAGATAGAAGATCTAATGCAACCTATGATTTCTAAGCCTAGTAGGAGAACACTATGTATGCACATAATTACTTCATTTTAAAATAACTTAAACAAACACAACAATAAAACAAGACAAAACACCACTTATAATAGAACGAACAACACACAGCTTACAAACACAAAACAAACACAACCTTAGAACACAACAACACCTTACAACTTACAAGACACAACACCAGTTTCAACTTGTAAAAAAACAACACAACTTACGATTAATCATAGTTTCAAGAAGAAAAATACAAGTGGAATGAGAACCGTGAAGAGAAGAATAGATAGAAGTCCAAGATGAAATATAAGAAGGAAGGTAGAAGAGGATAACTCGCAAGCTATGACAAACCTGCAGGTTTTACATTCCAAATATTCATCACATATCACTCTCTCTTTTTCCTTAAAGAAATCAACCACCTAAATTTGCCACCGAAACAACCAATAAAAGCCTTTCAAAATAGCCACAAAACTCTTCCATATCAGCCAATTTAGTAGAAAATAAAGCATCCAGCATAGGTTTCAGCAAATGGGGAAATCGAGCAGACACAAGCCCACAACAGGGAAAACTAGTAGCCAGTAGTAAAGGCAACATGGAAACCAAAGGGGGTAGCTGGGGAAACGAAGAGCCAAGAGGGAAAATTGAAGTCCAACATGGGGAAGACCAACATCCAACATGGGAAAACCAAACAACCACTTAGGGAAGACCAAATAATAGCAGGAATACGAGAAGACCATAAAAGGGAGGGAAAACGAGTAGCCAACAGTAAAGGCAACATGGTAGCTGGGGAAACGAAGAGCCAGGAGGGAAAATTGAAGCCCAACATGAGGAAGACCAACATCCAACATGGGAAGACCAAACAACCACTTAGGGAAGACCAAATAATAGCATAAATACGAGAAGACATCATAAAAGGGAAATGACAGTAGGAAAATTCAGCAAACAACAAGGAAATTCAGCAAATAGAAGGGAAAACTGAGAAGTCACATGAGAAAGATAGCTAGAAACACAAGCGGAAAATTAAGAAAAGATAAAATAGCTAGCATTTACTGCATCAAGATCCACTCAACGTTGTGTCTTACAACATTGATTTTGCACACCTTTTTTGACATGGTGGGAAGGTTCAACACTCTCGAAGATGCCTTTTATGTGGGGAAGATATTGGGGTTGCCGAAATTAATAGCGAATCTGACTTGCACTGAACTTAAAAAGAACAAAACAAAAGAAGATGCTTGACTGTATATGCTACATGACTGTCAATTGAACAAATGTAAATTGCAAAACAAAGATAAAAAAAGAAAATTCAGAAATAAATTTTTTTTGGCACTACTAAATACTGAATGAACCATAAGGAATTTGTAATGAATTCAACGCCTCACCAACGATTGCGAATAGAACCTCCCTTCACACTTCTACTCTTAGAACCGTGGATTTGAGTTCAATGAATCAAATGAGAATGAGCTATGGGACTCTCTAATTTATAGATAGAAGAATGGTTCCATGTGGCGCATATTTAATTAAAATCCAACTATATGAGATGACAAAAAGGATGATATGAAACACATGTTGGATTCCTACTCACCTTCCTTGCAGTCGGATCTGCAACACATACATAAGTAGACATATGAGAAATAGTGAATTTAAAATACAGATTCACGAGCACGCGAACAATTGTCACATTAGACCCTTACACATTTCAAACAAGTGTGGTCATTGGAATGGTTTTCAAATCAGATAAATGGTCAAACCTATTACTCATCACGATTGCACAAATGTTCTAAATGCCTCGCACATTAATTGCTAAAAAATGAGGCTCATACGCATCCCTCTAATAGGCACTATGCTTTTTTGATGAACAATGCACCTTGTGAACGAATAATTTTTAAAAGAAACAGAGTAATGCACTATTGTCCACGCGTCCCCTTAATATATATTGCAAATGCATCGAAAATGTGCAAATACACTTTCTTAAGTGCACAAAAGAGCATCTAAATATATCAATGGACGTGACAATGCATTGTGTAAGCACATTAAAGATCATGCAAGCATACAAGTGTATCACGTGAAAATATGTGCATGTATATTGTTAATGTGTATTAAGAAATATATAGATATAATATGTGAATGTGTTGTGAAACGTGCAAGTATACCATATCATGCATTAAAACCCATGCGCGGTACATCAAATCATAAAATGTCGGCTTTTCGATGACCCGGTTAGGAAAGTAGATGTTTATATTTGACTTATGTTAAGAAAGTTAGAGGTAGACTTAAAAAGATTTGGTTAGAAAATAATATAAATGATCTTTCTTTATTAGATTTAGATGAGAATTTAACTTTTAACATAACACAATAGAGAAAAATGATTCATGTAGTCGACCCCACTTAGTGGGATAAAGGCTTGTTGTTGTTGTTATTGTGCTTTTATGAACAATGCACCTTTTGAACAAACAATTTTTTAAAGAGAGAGAAATGCACTATTGTGCATCATGAAGGCCACAATCATTTTAACAAAGTACACATTGTGCGTCAAATCACCAAAATAAACATTGTCCACATGTCCCCTAAAAATACATTGCAAATGTATAAAAAATGTGCAAATAAACTTCCTAAGTGCACAGAAAAGCATCTAAATATATCAATGGACGTGCCAACGCATTGTGTAAGCACATTGAAGATCATACAAGCATACAAGTGTATCATGTGAAAATACGTGCATGTACATTGTTAATGTGTATTAAGAAATTTATAGATACAATATGCGAATGTGTTGTGAAACGTGCAAGTATACCATATCATACATTAAAAATCATGCGCAATACATCAAATCATAGTAATCATTTTACCCGCATGTGCTTTGACCAATGCATTAAAACTCTTAACACTAATGTCCAAGAATCTTATATGGGTTAAAAGTGAAATAAAATTAACAACATGTCTCCCATTTTAAAAACCGTGTGATCGCTCTTCTATTTAAACAAATTTACATCTCTTTTGAAATCCAAACTTTTTCGCATTTGCTTCTACCAAATATACCAAACTCTTAAACTCAAGGTCCGAGAATACTATGCGGGTTAAAATGAAATGAATTCAAATTTAATTCACCTTACAAAACGTGTAAATATTATGAAATTATATAATTATTTCAAAAAATTCAAACTTTCTTTTAAATTTTGAATGTCAAAGTATCAATGTTATACACGCTCTTTAGCAGGCTGCTCTGTCTCTTGGAAAGAGTCGTAAGTACTACATTTTGAGTTTGATACTCCTCCTTACAAGGATTGGAGTTGACAATACTTAAACCTCATGAGAGATATTAGAGTAGTAAGCTTTAAAATGCACCCCAAGTCTTGTTATCACAAGTGAACATACAACTATAAAATCGACGATGATATTTGATTTTATGTTCATATTAAGGCTTCAATGCCTTTTATAAAGAAACTTTAGTCCAAAATACAAACTCTTGAATTCAATGCTTGTATGGCAACTCATGAAGTTGATGCTTAAATTCGATGTTAAGATTCAAATAACAAAATAAAATATTCAAACACCTTGATGTTGGCCGTGTTGAAAATGAATCTCAACCGAAGTAGACTGTATCTTTTGAAATGCTCCTAAATCCCAATGTAAATTATTTTGGAGCTTTGTCCAGATAAAACTATAAAAATTCAAAAAAATTAATAAAATAAGAAAATATTTCAAAGATAAATCTACCACCATATTACGTAATGCAAAGTTCATACACTTTTCGCAATTGTTTGTAGAGGGTGATAGTTTGAGAATAACTTTAGCTTATAAAGAGCCAATGTCTAGGTGTCCTCCCAAACTATTTGTTTTAAGCATAAGGTGGCAAATTTCAATCCTAAATCAATTTCCTGCCACCATATGTTAGCCACTTAATACCTATCTAACAACTAATCTTGATTGAAAGTTCTCTTATTATTGGGAGGGTTGATTGACCATGTTGGTTTGCTCCTATGGAAAACTTAGAACTAAATCATAAAGTTCTCGCAAAGGCAAAATCTTTGGGAAGTGTCTAAAAATTTAACCTGGAACACATCTATACTTTCCCAACGAGAGATCAGGACATGATTTTCGGAGGCCGTAGTTGACAGGGACAACCTTTTGCTGCATTGCAGAAATACTATTTTCATAGTTTGAACCATTGATTTCTATTGTCAAAGTGGAGGCAGCTTAAACCCTTGCTCCTCCTAGTCCTCTACAAGGGCTCACAAGAATTAAGTGGGGCCTATTTCTTTTGCATGAGGTCCACAATAATGCAGTATTTAAGAGTATGGGGTACTGAGTTATGTAGTGTTAGGATGCATCATGGAAGTTTTTTAAATGATTGACTTGAACATGCTCTTTACTTCTATATTATGATAAAGGCAACTTTATCCGCACTCCACTTATACTTTTGAGAATAGCCTAATTCTTATATCAGTTGGTATGCATTTTAAAAGTCATTTATTCTTGGACATGAACAAGAGATTAGAGGAAATTGAATTTAGCTTTTTTGGCCCTTTTAACAAAACTTGCTCCAGCTCCATGGCCGGATAAATTTGCAAGCTTGTAACTAAATTTTATTTTAAAACACATCACTTACAATAATTTTGTAACACTATATAACTACATGCAAATTGGAAGTTGTGTCCTCATTGGCTCATCATGACTCAGGACAAGGCCATATTTCTAGGTGTTGCGCAAAATCATGAACTTCATGTGGATTTCATTTTGTGAAAATGAAGATCTAAAATATATAACTTTATCATGGTTATTATTATTATTCAATTTGAAAATGTTGCAGTACGCATGCCTTTGAGATAACCTTTTTATGATCATTTTTTGTGTTCCTTGGCCTACTTTATGTAGTTTGCAGATAACTCCAGCATGCAACCTGCCACTAAAATCCCTCAACGGTGGAGGAAAAATTGTCATTGTGAATCTTCAGGTTTGTTCTTGTTCGAGACATTTCTTCAAAACAGCATGATGTGTATTTGAGGCCATAATAATGCAATGCAGAAGCACCAAGTCTTGTGTCTTTGAATCAATTCGATGGCTACCTGTGGTTAGGTGGGGAGGGTTTGCAATAAACTTTTGCACCATGTTGAATTGTTGATTAGTAATTATGATTTTGTCTTTGACTCGGTTTTAAATGTTTTAGAAGAGGTATTCCTAAGTTTTGAGCTTGAAATATGAAAATCAAATTGCATCTAAGTGCCAAGAAAATGGGCATTATTGTTCATTCCATTCCTCTACACATTTCTCATTCTTTTAAAGAGGATCTTAATATACAAAGGTAGTTCGCTATTGATTTTTCTGTGGTATTTCTTTTTATGGGTCATAAGTTGTAATTTGAACTATTTGAAGAATTAGATTACAGTTAGACAATAACCTGATAGGAAGTGTTTATAAATATTTTTTTGTTGAAATTTTAATTTCAGCACTCTCAAACTCAACACCCACAAGACTAACTAATAGGAAAACCTAAAGATTTTTTTTTAATTGATAATAGATAGAAGAAAACAACAAGATACAATGGATCCTCAATTGGAGAGGAGGATCCGGCTCTCCTAATTCCCTAGCCGCCGGCTAGAGCCCAAAGCACCCTAAGAACACTATAATTTCAGCAAAACAAAACATCCCATAACCCTAGGAAAAACACCTTACTTAAAGCGTACAAAAATATCCCAAATAGCCCTTTGCATTTGCATTCTTTTTCTTCCAAATAGCCCTTTGCATTTGCATTCTTTCCCCTTCTAGCAGCCCCCCTCCCTAATTAGGTTTTAATGCCCTGGGCCCCATTGCAATGGGTGGGATTTCCCTCCCTTTCCACTTGCTAGATACGGGAGCTCCGCTTCCCGTATGATAGAGCCGGTCCGGGAGGAACCGGTCTAACATAACCTTAGATCCCCCCTTACAGAAACCCCTTCCTTAGTCCTCTTGGTTTTTCCTTCCATGGTACTTTATTTCAAGTGAACTGGTAGCATTTGCTTAATTCATTTTAATCTAATTCATCACATAAAGATGATTGTGTGACTGTGACCTACTTCTCCAAATTACCAACTAATCAGAGTATCCTAACTCTTATGATGTTTTGCAGCCAACTCCAAAGGATAAAAAGGCTAGCCTAGTTATTCATGGCCAAGTAGATAAGGTAATTAAACACTTTTACTTTATCTGATTCCAGCATACATTTATCTTGATTTGTTCCGTGTGGAGAATTGTTTATAAAAATTCAATCAAATTATGCTTTATTACTTTTTTTACAAACTTTTTTTATCGATTGATTCTTTAGCAAGCACATTTAGTAATCTGCTTATGCTTAACAGGCATAAATATCTCACTCAATCAATTGGTTTAGTAGTAATGTTCTTCTTTATGGAGTTTTTTCCACCTGAATTGCTTTAAATTGTTTACTGATATGATTATATAGTTGAAAATTCTAACGATATGCTTATTGGAACAATGTTTGGTCTACCAAGATATATCTTGCTTATACCTATCTTAGAATATATATCATTTAGATAGCAAGTTAAATGATAGCAAGTTGAAAATGTTTGTACATGATGACCTTTCAAGATGCATATGCTTATATGGATAAGTATTTTACTTAATTGATTAGTGTAGCAGTAATGTCAGTCTTTCTGAAGTTTTACTTTAACTTGATTGACTGATTTAATCTTGCTTTCTTGAAAAATCTAACCTGTATTTTATTCTGAGATTTGAACCTTTGACCTCCACTTTGGAGGTCAAAGGAAGAACCACTCAACCAGCCAAAGGCAGAACCAACTGGTTGAGTGGTATTATATATCATCTTAGATGATGAGTTGAAAAATCAAACGGATGCTTTGGAACAATTTCTGCATACCAAGATACATCATTTAAACATTCTTAGAATATACGTCTCTTAAGATGTCAAGTCAAAAACCTAAATTTTTATACTGACCAAGCTTGAACATATTGTTTACATTCCAATTACCCTTCTTTCATGACGGTCAACGCTAATGTTTGTTGATATAATTACAGCTGATGGGTTGCTTTTGTGTGTCATTGCTTATATAGTGCATAGGAATCATCACTTTATTGGACTAAAATTGCTGGAAGGTCGAATTTCTTGAAAACTGCATCTTGTGTATGATAGGGAAAAATCAGGTTTTAGGATTTTCTGAAAGAAATATATGAGCAGTTTGATATATATCTCTTGTTGTTGTTATTTCGCGTTTACTTGCCAGAATTCTGTCTAATTTCCCATCCTTTTGCATTACTAACTCCCAAAATTTAACTGTCAGGTTATTGCGGGTGTCATGCACTTTCTGAATGTTCAGATTCCTCCATATGTTCGTATTGATTTTGTCCATATTAACCTTAAACATGCTCCAAGAAGTAAGTTTGAGCCCTTCGATTGAACACCCCTTTTGGGGTATTGGTAGTGCAGTAAAAAGATGTGTATTTTTTTTGCATGATAGCCATATCAAACTTATTTCTATTCATTATTTTTATGTAATTTTTAAAATTTTATAAACATATTAAAATCATCATCACCCATATTATCCTTACCATAGCTACATCGGGACTGCTCAGTGCTATATGAAATTGGAGAACACTTACCAAATTATCGAAGTAGTAACACATACTTTAGCATTGGATTCCCTTTATAAAAAGCTATTATTATTCCTCTCGTGATTCAAGATGACGATGATTGTTTTCAATTGGGATTTTTTGATAGGTTTTCAATTTCTACATTTGCTTATTAAGCTTACACTTTCATGTACTTATTATTCCTTTAGTTGCCAACTTCTCTTTTCATGTTTCACAGTTGAGATGATTAATTTGTAAATTTTATTTAATCTTTCATTCCTTGAAACTATTAAGATCCTTAAAAGTTTTCTTAGGTTGTAACTTAGCTAATTCAACAACAACAACATCAAGCATTTATCCCACTATTTGGGGTCGGCTACATGAATCTTTTTTATTCATCATATTCTGTTAAACGTTAAATTATCATTTAAATCTAATTAAAAAAAGGTCATTTCTAATTTTTTCTAACCAAGTCTTTTTAGGTGTACCTCTCTTAACATACAAAATCTAATACATCTACTCTTCTTACCGGATCATTAGAAGGTCGACATTTTATGTGACCAAACCATCTAAGTCAGCTCTTTCTAATCTTATCTGCCACTATAGCTACTCCAACCTTTTCACGTATATGCTCATTTTGCATTCTATCTCTAAGAGTAAATACACTCATCTACTTGAGCATCCTCATTTCTGCGACACTTAACTTAATTGTACACTTCTCTTTTAATGGCCAACATTCTGTGCCATAAAGCATTGCAGGTCTCACCACCATCTTATAGAATTTTCCCTTAAGTTTGAGGGACACTTTTCTATCACACAATAGGCTCGATGCATTCCTCCACTTCAACCATCCAACTTGAATTCTACTAATAATATCCTCATCTATTTCACCATCACTCTAAATAATAAACCCGAGATATCTAAAATGTATACTCTTATTAGTGACTTGATCGCCTAAAGTCACAATCCCCCCATTAGATCTATTATTATTAAAATTATATTCCATGTATTCGGTTTTAGATATACTTAAACGAAAATTTTTAGACTCTAAAGTTGACCTCCATAATTCAAGTTTACCTTCAACTCCCTCTCCAGTTTTATCAACATCAACAAAAAACATACACTAGGGTATATCCTCATGCAAATGTCTAGTAAGAGCATCCATGACTAAAGCAAAAAGATATGGGCTTAAAGCTGATATTTGATGTAAACCAACTGAAATAGGAAAATACTTGATCCAACTTCCTTGTGTTTGAACACAAGTAACAACTCCTACATGTATGGAGGTGCGTGCATGTGTTTATTTTGCAATCTAAAACTTGCCCATGTCATATTTATGTAGTTGGCAATTCGTTTATCTATGCCTATGTAGCATACTTGTTATTGTTGGCTACTTGCATGATGACATGATCTTTCTCCATCATTTATCAAAAGCATGAATAATGAAGCATAGATTTGCCAAGGGGTTTCCATGTCATGCTAGGTGCTGGAAATTTGGCGCTAGGACTATCTCATTAATTTTTTCAAAGGAATTTCTTTTGCTCCTTAGACACCCCTTCAATATAGTTTATTAAATCCCATATGAATTTGATCAATGTTTATTTTAATCTTTCTTCTTTTTATAGAAAAAATGTGCTTTTTAATATTGAATATGATCATTCGTTTTGGAGGTGTTGATTCAAACTTGACACTTTATCATTGATTGGGAAATCTAAGTGTCTTGCAAAAATTCACTGTATTTATCGCATTGCCCGTATTTTTTTTGCAATTTTCTGCTATATTTTGTCAATTTATAATATATACATGTTAATTACCCGCTTAGCTTGAGTGGAAAATTGTATTTTTTTTTTTTTCATTGCCCATCTGATTTTGACCATTGAACCTTCAAAGTGAAATTCAAGATTATTGATTATGATCTGTATTAGTAAAAAAACTACTGGAGGACTGAATCCATACACTTCTATAACTGAATCCATTCACTTTTATAAGGATTAGATTCTCATCAAGTTTGTGAAAAAAAAAATTAGTTGTGTATAACTGGTGATCATCATCATCCTCATAATCGGCCTTACCCTTGACTTTCTGAACCAATCTCAATCAATTCCTATTAGCAAATTCACGATTGTTGATTATGCTCTATATTAGTAAAAAGCTACTTAAGGATTAAATTCATTCACTTTTATGATAATTGGGTTATCATGAAGCTTGTGAAAAAAATTAATTGTGTTTTATTGGTGTTCATCCTCCTCATAATCAGCCTTATCCATCTACTTGTCAGTTGACTTTAATGAATCCTCTTACATTAGTTCCTTTTTAGTTTTACATGAGGTGATCATTCTATTTTGTATTTTTTTTCACAACTTTTAGTTATGTTGTCTTTTGCTTACCCATTTTTTTTCGTGTTTTCATATTAATTTTTTTGGCCTATCTTATTTTGAACAACTTTTAATCATGTAACATTTGGTCAACTCCTCTTAAACCTAATCCTCTTACACTAATTTTATTTACTTATTTTATGTTCCACTTTTTTATTCTTTTTTGCACACATCTAAATCAACTAAGTCTATTTTCAGTTATCTTATCTCTAATAGATATATCACTCAACCATTTATCTAATATAATTATTTTTTAATTTATTCATCATAATTTTGTCACAATCATATTACTATTTTCATTTCTATCATGTTCAATAACTTATTTTTTTTCGTAAAATTTGAATTTGTAAAACATTATTGTCCTAAGATATATTGTTGAAAAGTTTTGTTGGTACAATTGTCTATATCCAACTTGCTTCCCCATTTTTGTTGAGCTTTATCTAGATGAATTTCAATACTTAATTTCCAATTGTTTAGCGTAAAGTTTGTGTTTGTTATACCCTTTTTCAAACTGCTGTTATTCTTCTTTCGAGCATTACGTCTTGTTCAAAATTATTGAAATGTAGCTATTTCGATATCTCAAGGCACTATCTTGTCAAATAATGCAGAGAAAACATACGTGAAATGGATCCTCAAGGTAGCAAGTCTCCATGGATCAAGGGCTCCACTACCATTTGTTAAATCAGTAGAGGTAGTCAATTGTTGTTGTTTCTTTCCTTTACCATAATTAGAAGAGGCTGTCGTTTTTATCCTTATAATATCTAAAGTAAATTATAATTGAATTTTTGTTGCCTTCTATACTATTTGGTAAGTTTCTGAATAATTTCCTTCACTTTGAAATTCATTGCATTTATTGTGAAAATTATAGAGGAATTAAGTTGTCTAAAGAATATATAAAGTGTGTGAGTAGATTTAAAACCGAATATATAAAGTGTAATTTTAGTAGTAACAGATCTAGTGGGAGGTGTGTGACTTTGAGCAATCAAGTCATTAATAAGAGTACTCGTTTTATATATCTTGGGTCTATTGTTTAGAGTGGCGGTGAAATAGATGGGGATATTATGAGTTGAATTCAAGTTGGATGGATGAAGTGGAGGAATACATTGGGTTTGTTGTGTGATAGGAAAGTACCACTCAAACTTATGAGAAAATTCTATAAGATTGTGGTTAGACCTGCAATGTTTTATGGCGCAAAATGTTGGCCATTAAAAGAGAAGCATAATATTAAATTAAGTATTACAGGGATGAGGATGCTCAGGTGGATGAGTGGCTTTACTCTTAGAGACATGATACAAAATGAGCATATATGTAAAAAGGTTGGAGTAGCTCTAGTGGCAGATAAGATTAGAGAGAGTTGCCTTAGATGGTTTGGTCACATAAAACAGTGGCTTTTGTTGACTGTAACGGTAAAACCAACCGACTGAAGCCCCAAACGATACGACGATTCGCCCACCGACTTCTACCACCGCCATTCACAAAATAAAAAAATCCTTCTCATTCAAACGGTTAGATACGCACCCTCAGGCTCTTAGAACCGAAGAGAACAAAAAAAAGAGAGGATTCGGGACTTACCTCCAGCAGGCGATATCTCTCTCGATCTCTATATCGGCTTCAGTCGAAGACCCTCCTGCCTCCGTCGAGCAAGCCGAGCCGCCTCGTCTGCGTCCAATCCTTCATCTCGCATGCAAGGTCCAACCTCCTCCCGCCGATCCTAGCCTTCTGTCAGCACAAGCCTGGCTTCCAAACCTCTTCATCCCGCCGGCGACTCAACCCCCCGACTCCAGGCCGCCGAACAAGGAGAGTAGATGTATTAGATTTAACCTATGTTAAGAAAGATAGAAATAGACCTAAAAATGCTTTGTTAGAAAATATTAGAAATGACCTTTCTTTTAATAAAAAGAAAAGAAATGATCTTTCTTTATTAGATCTAAATGAGAATTTGACTCTTAATCGGATACAATAGAGAAAAATGATCATGTAGTCGACCCCACGTAGTGGGATAAAGGCTTGATGTTGTTGTTGTATTGTTTTTCCTTGTCAATTTTTCTTGTCTTCCCTTGGTGCGTAATTGGGTTCATGTTCTTCATATTTTCTGTTGGAGAAAGAATATGGTGTAACAATAAATGGATTTTTATCAGTCCATCTCAGTATATTCGAATTGTAGCCTCTCTATGCTCTCTACGCTCAGATCCTTTCAACTTAGCATTTTCTGCATTACAAAAGCCTCTTAACATCAACACTTAACTTTAGGTCTGTTTATGAGTTCTGAAAATCTGGAATCCTTTTATCATTATTTTTAACAAAAATCTTGCATGTCTTCATATTTGGCTTTTCTTTTTGCAGAACTCAGTGTGTAACTAAGTACTTATATTTTCTCTGTCTCTCAGCTCTCCCTTCGCCTTTTGAGGATAGCTACCACACTTAGGAATAAGAATACTTCTTGAAAGCTTTAATCAGATGTTTGAAATTAGTATTGATACTATTTTTTATTGCTCTTCTGCCACATCGCCTTCATTCGTACGACTCTAGTTGTATGCATCAGTTTCTTAACTGCACATTACTCCTGGTTCACTTGTGCCAAATTTATTATCTTATTTAAATTAGCTAAGCTATGAAACCTTTTCCTGAACTGTTGTCATAGGGCAATTTAATTCCAGTAAGTCTGTAACTGTATTTCTCATCTAAATTATGGTTTTTATGAATCGTTGCATAAAATATTAGGCCATGGATGTGATAAAGGTTTGATGATGGATTTCTGATGTGATAGGTTTCTTTTCCTGAAAGACCTGACATGAAAACTGCATTCCTGGCTAAGCAACCTTTTGTTTTGAAAAGGTATTGTCACTTCTATTTGGCGCTCAAAAGTATCTAAACTGTGATGGTTTTTCATGAATCTCCTCATTCCATTTTTTTCTGGTTCAAAATTCTTTAGAGAAACCGCAAGGAAAAGACCTTTTACCATGGCTCTAAAGTTCAATTTTATTGATGGTTGTCGCTGTTCATTCACTACAGTTTTCTGGGGGGTTAATTTTCAGGTGAATAAATGCAGGTATTTTATTTCTTTTGCCTGCATGTTGACTCTGTCAATCATGGAAGAACCTTGTGTTGTGTAGCCAAGAACTTCTGTTTATGGTAGAAGTTGTTTTGGACTGTCGGAACAAGAAGTTGGCATGTCCATTGAAAGAGTTAATAAACTAGGGTTGATTAATTTCTGGATCTTAAAATCTCAACCCTAAATATTTTTCCTTTGCATGCTTTATTAGCAACCATATAAAGCTTCAGTATAATTGCCCGGTAGGCTTACAAATATGCAACATTGTTGATACAAATCTCAATCTTTGATGGTCATCGAAAATGCACGAATGCTTTTAGGTGAAAAAAAATATATCTTTTATTATTTTGAATATTTTCTTTTAGTTGGAGTTTTACTTTTCATGGTTTTCTTAAATAAGACATGCATATGATGCTCCCTATTTTCAGAATGACTTGTATTTTCTGAATTTTCCCTTGGATTCATTGCATCTGGCAAGAATCATTTGTCCAAATAACAAAGAAACTTGATTTTAATGATCTTTTCTGCAATTAATGGTGTTTGGAATTCTATGGTTATCGTTTGTTGTTTCATTGGAATCTTGCAGCTGTTTGATTTGGTGGCCTTTTTTAAGAATATTTACTATTGATTTAGTTAGATGAAAATATGTAATGGCTTGTAATGCTCCTCACCTAAAGTATCACCCTATAACGTTTCCAATATCAATGCAATTGAAATGATTCTAGATTGTTTGCTTTGAGTATCCCTAAAGAAAATTATATATACCCTCCATTAAATTATTACTTTTGCATGTTCATTTGAGACCAAAACATCTTAAAATTTCCTGAAAATTGGCATCTTAATTGTCATATTATTTGACTAATTAGATTGACGACATGATTGAAATATATGTTGAAATCAAATTGTATGGTAATGTTTCTCTATATGCCTTCTAATTTCATCTTCATAACTCAGGTTAAATTGAAGAGCTTCATCCAAGATAAGAATGAGGTTCTCAAGAAACTAAGAGATGATGCAGATCAAGAATCTCAGTGTGGGCAGCAGGAAATCGTGGAGAAGCTGATCCTTCCGAGGTCTGAATCCGCCATACATGCCATCACAACGAATATCATGCGGTATAATCTTTCTGAGACTGCCAGTGTAGAAGAAGCAAGCTCCATTGGTGATGACTCGAAGATCGAAAGGTTCGGAGAGGGTGAGAATGGAGATGAGATGTCCTCAAAGCGAGCCAAGTGGTTCTGATCTATCATGCTTTTTTACAGGTTTTGGTATTTGGTTGTTTTTTTTTATTATTATTATTGTATATGGTTTGCATTTAGATTCTTACAACTTGCTGATTTTTCTAATAACTGGAAGCCAATTCTGGGAAGAAATTTGGCATATTGGACATTGGATGGGTGAATTTTCCGAGCTTACACCCCAATCCATTGCCGTTCTGGTAAGATACACGAGTTATGACACCCTTTACCTTTACAAGTTGCAATTTGATATTAAATATTTAAATGTGTTATCTATAGTTGAACTCAGAGTTTGTTATATATATATATCATGTTAATTTTAATCAATAACTATGTAGAAACATGACAAAATATGGTTGAAATATAATCTATAAAGCTGGATTTGTTATTCTGTGCGGATGTCAAATACTGTTCAGATATCAACCAGAATGTGTCACGTCACCTCCTGCTCGGTACCCAGTTCAATACTACTGATGTGACGTGTTGCGGCGTATTATGATTAATCTTTGGACTATGAACTGCATTCGACGTTCGCACAGAATAATTTTTCATAAAGTTGAGGGTCAAAAGTTTTTTCCTGCTGCGAGGCTGAGGAACAAATAAGATATTTCAGCACATTGCTACTTATTTGTTTCTTTTTCCAGCGCAATACAGAAATGATAAAGCGACGATGATGAAGATTTTAGTCATAAGTTGTGTTGAGAACAGTATGATGAGTTATATTTTTTTCTTTATTATAATAACTTTTTTTTTTTTTCTCTTCCTAAGTGGATGGAATTCTCATATTTCTTGTAGGTAAAATTTTGAGTTTGCAAATCTTAGTGCTATCTTGTTTAGAAATCTTTCTTTGAATTTATTAGGTTCATAAATTAGGAGTTCTATTATTCCATAATGTTTTATGGCTCATATCGAACTCAAATTGAGCCAAACAACTTGATTCATCAGATAAGCATTTTTTTTTTCCTTGGTCTGATCTTTGAGTTATGTTTAAATTGGATCAGATGATATGAGAGCAATTTAAATTTTAAATAATATATATATTTATAATTAAAAAACATAAGAAAAATAAATAATTTTGAATCAGCTTGATATGGATTTCAAAAGCTACAAGGCTTTGTTGGGGGCAGATTTTTTATTATTTGTTAAAGCAAGTTTCTAGCACATAAATTTTTAGTTCATTTGTGCATTAAAAAATTATTTCAGAAAGATAGTTGTTCCAAAAGAAATCTAAGATTTCATTTGGGACATCTTTTTTATTGCTTTTTAAAATAATTTTTAATATAAAAATTTTTTGAACAAAAAATTTATGTACAAGAACATTATTTTAAAAAAAGCAATAAGAAAATTGTCTCAACAAAGGCAAAGACTTCCTTTGAGAACTTTATGTCATTATTTTTTTTACTAGTTAAAAAATTAACTAAAATGTTGATTTATAAATTAGTGAGAATTGAGAAAGTTGTTTCAAATAAAGCCTAAAGCCTTATATTATGGTGCATGGCTATTCAACAAAGGTCAATTAATTGTAATTAAATTTATAATATTACTATTTTATTGTAATTTGGCAGGTTCAAATTTATTTTTATTTTCACAAGCAAGCTAATTAATTAATTAAATATAATATTTATAGGCTATTAAGCATAAAACACAAGCATGGCCCCAATAGATGTTACAAACTTCTATTACTAATCATATGCTTAAATAAGACTATAATCAACTTCAGGGTGTAGATATAATTATTATTTATCTTTTTCTCGGCAACTACTGACTCATAATATCTCTATTAGGGCTTAAATTTATTTATTTTGTCCATCTTTAGCTCTTCTCATGTGGTTCTCTCTATATTATGGGCTATATCTTCATTGGAGTTCGTATTGCTCTGCTCCCCTCTCATCAATACCTATCTCTTGAAGGATCCCTTCTCACCATTCTGCTCCCCTCTCATCCCCCCTCCACCACCACCATGGCATATTCCTTGTAATAAGATTTCTATAGTGGGTCTATATAAGAGCTTTATTGTCCTATTTTTAGACTCCTCTTTTGGAGAAAATATTCTGTGTGCGGACACCGGACATAGAGAATCGTTGGGATTTATTGCGTGTTTACAAAATGGCAACAAATATTCAATTATGAATGCGTTTTTACTACCTTTTGTTCTGCCTTTACAAATACTCAGTTAAAGCGTAATAAATATTAAATATTTGTTGCAATTTTACTGTCCTTTTGTAGAAGCAGAACAAAATGATAGTAAAAGCACAGTAAGTTAGGATGGTTTTCTCGGTCCGACATTCGCACAGAATAATTAGTCTCTCTTCAGGGTTCTCTTTTCTAGGCTCATGCACAACAACTTCGAAAAGCTAGCTACTCCAGCTTTGACAAACAAACCAAATCTTCTTCCACATGGTCAAAGGCTCTTTTTTTTTAAATGGGGTTTTGATAACACTAAAGAAATTATAGTCAATTAAATGTAACATTGATCTCCTCTCCTTAAATGAAGATTCTTTCTATTTAGGTTTCCTAGCAAAAATGACTAACTCAGCTTGAGCATTGAGGACCTTAATTTTTGGGTTGATTTTCAACATTTTGTGAATTTGTTGTCTCTAATTCAATTGAATTTTTTTTTTTGTTGATACATAGAGAAGACTGAAAACATAATATAAAATGTAAATAACATGCATGCTATTTATATTTAGTGGGTTTCATATAAGGCTAAAATTTTATATTGAAGATCATTGAAAAATTATATTGATTTTAGGCTCATATTAAACTCAAATTGAGCCGAAAAAACTTAAAAATCATGAGATATATATATATATTTTATTCAGTATAGTTAGGTTTGAATCTGATCAACATGTCTGAAGATCATATATATATATATATGAAATATTAAAAAAGAATTGATTTCTAATCAACAACTTCAAATCAAGTTTATTCAAGCTAAGTTGGCTCTGAATTATATTGATTCAATCCATAAGTAATTTCAAGTCAATTTGTACATAGGAGTTGATTTTAAATCAGAATTAAATGTACCAAACATTCTCAACCCATAACTTAGATCAGGAACAATATTTAGGTTTAAGTATATCATTACAGAAATGTTGCCCTCATTATCATAATAATTCAAAGCATTTTACCCCTAAAATAAAAAAGTACAAAAAACTTCTAGATTGTTAATTTCTAATGTTAAAGCTTCTATATTGTCATTGGATTTCTAATATAAATGTGATTTGAAATGTTCATATTTATTTATTTTTACTTTCCTTAACAAGCCCATTCATTTCATAAATATTATATTGATAGACTATTAAGTGTACAACACAAGTGGGGGACACACATCTTATAAAATTCTACACTAATAATATACTTTGCCAAGCCCATAATCTACTTGAGGGTCTTTTTCCTCAACCAACGCTGACTCCTCTTCCATGGCTTAGATTTTTCTTGGGTTTTTCCTTCACTCAAGGCTATATACCTCTGCTCTCCTCTTCTTCTTCCTTAATCAATCCCTAATTATTGAAGGATCCCTTCTCCCACTTATTGCCATGATGTACACCCTCCACTACATCCATGGATGGTAATTTTAATAAGATCTTTGCAGCGGATCTATACAAAGCTTTCTTATCCATATATTTAGACTGCTCTTTAGGCTCTTCTTGGCTCATGCACTAGGAATCAGAAAAGCTAGCTCCTTCAATTTCAACAAACAAATCTAGATTCTGATAGGCAGAGACCAGCCCAGCCCAGCCGGCTCATGCAATATAGTAGGCCCCCCTTGGGGTGGGGTCCACTACCTAAGAGAAATAGTGTGAGGGCTTTTTAATCCTTTTGCATTGTTCTTATGTTTGCTTTAAGTAGAAGTTTGTATTACGGTTAGGGCATCTTTTTTATGGCTGATTTTTGCATGCCTTTTGTGTTATTGGGCTCTAGCGACGTCTAAAGAGTTTTGGAGAGATTGATCATTCTCTCGAATAGAGGATCGCTTGTATCTTGTTGTTTTTTTTCTCCACTAATATGTGATTCTTGTTGTTATTTGTATTTTGTGTGAAAATGTGTGGGGGTAATGTTGCTGAATTCGCATCCTTTGTAGGATTCTCTTGAGTTCTACAAGTGTTTCCTATCAAATTGGTATCAGCTTGGGAGAGGCTATGGAGTTAACCCAGCTGATTGAGGATCAAAAGTACTATGAGAGGGGGGCCAGAGGCAGCAATTCAAGTGGCTCAAACAAGATGACTACCACTCTCTTAGCACGCAAGGGGCTGACACTGAGCAACCTTCGTGAGACCCCAAGGGAGAAGTCGGTAGGAGGAGGAAGTGGGGGGAAACTTCAAAAGGTTGACGGAGAGGGAGATGCAGGAGAAGAGGGCGAAGAGATTACGCTTCCAATGTGATGAGAAGTATACTCCAGGGCACAAGTGTATGGACCAGACTCTTCATATTCTCACTGTCTGTGATGATGAGGAAATTGACGGAGGTGGGAGTGAGATAGGGGTAGAGGATGAGGACAAGCTGCATCTAGGCGTGGCAGAGGTCTCCCTGAACTCAGTGGTAGGATTCACTTCGAATCATACCATAAAAGTGAAGGGGGAAATAGCAGACAGGGAGGTGGCAGCATTGATTGACACTGGGGCTACCCACAATTTCATCTCCAACTAGATCATGAACCAATTAGGGGTGACATTGGTGGAGATAAGGTGTATGGAGTAATGATGGGTATGGGGATGGTGGAGACCGGCCGAGGAATCTGTAGGGCAGTAGTGCTGACTATACAAGGGGTTCAGGTGAGGGAGGATTTTCTCCCATTGGAGTTAAGGTGCACTGATATTATCTTGAGAATGAAGTGGTTGCAGACCTTAGAGAACATCAAGGTCAACAGGGGAGCATTGATGATGGAGCTGGTGGTGGAGTGGAGGAAAGTGGAGGAGTATGGTGATCAGGAGAGATGTAGGGCTCTCCAAAGCCATTATGTCACTTAAAATAATGGTGAGGAGCATATAGGAAGTGGGGGAAGATCTCCTGGCGGAGCTACAGACGCTAGATGGGATAAGATTAAAGGAGGTTAGAGACATTCCTTCTTCAGTACAACCCTTGATTAAGAATTTCAATGAGGTTTTTCAGCCACCTCAGGGATCGCCACCGCCGAGGGAGCAGGAATACACTATCACCCTAAGGGAAGGGGTGTCACCCATCAGTGTCAGGCATACTGCTATCCTTAATTTCAGAAGGATGAAATTGAGAAATTGATCAAAGAAACGCTAGAGGCAGGGATTATCAGGCTTAATGTGAGTTATTTT